ACGCCTTTAATCCCAGCACTCAGGAGGCAGAGGCAGGTGGATCTCTGTGAGTTCAAGGACAGTTCCAGGACAGCTGGGGCTACAGGGAGCCCCTGTCTCAAAAAGACCAAAAAAAAAAAAAGAACGACAAGAAAGCACCCGGCCCCTCCCTCACTGTTGTTCAAGTGCCAACAAGTCCTTGAGGAGCAGCCTCCACCTGGCAGACGGCTCTGGTTCCCAGCCACAGGTCCATTCACAGCCCTCTCTAGGGAACCCATATGGCTGACAGGCAGAGAAGGGTCTAGGTTTCCAGTCTTGGTCCTGGGAACCACACACGGCATTTTTCATTGACTATGGGAAGTTTGGTGGCTCCAGTCACACAGGTTTTTTATGATAAAACCTTGTGAAATTCTCCTGTTACAGAAAAACGTACAGACCCAAACCTCTTCTAGCCCAACAGCAAAGTGAAGATTACAACCAGCAAGGCGGGCCTTCATCTTGGTTGGTGCCCTGCATTAAACAAGGTTTAAAGCAAAAGGTCAACATGTCCTGGATTCAAAATCCAGAAGCGAAATTCTCCAGTGAGCAGAGTTTGTCTTTTATAAATAGCTTAGTGAGGACAGAGGGCTGGGGAGAATCACTCAGGGGAGATTAGACCTGAAAGGTGAACCAATGTCACTCTCCTCAGCCTGCACACAAGGTACCCTTCTCTCCTGCAGAGAGGGAAGTAGGGCACACTAACCTGGCCAAAAGATGTTTTCAAGGGTGAACTCTACCCAAGAAGAAAGAGCAGCCACTGTGTACTCCAGACTGTGATTCAGGAGGAAGGAATCCAAGGACAGACTTTTGGGATTATTGACGGCTGTGACTAAGTACTCAGAATAGTGGAACAGCGCCAGTGAACACACATACCTATTAAAACAAAAAGAAAGAGGTAAACTGGGCAAGAAAACCAAGTCAGAAAAGGTAGAACCCTGGGTCTCAACTGTCCCTGATTCTGTAGTGAGGGCCCGTTATCACCTGTCTGAGCGGACATCAGGCACACACGCGGCGTTCACTCCCTCTAGTTTGCAGAAAGTGGGGTTATGTGGAACTGTTTGAATGTCACAGACAAAACAAAACAACAATCTCCATAGGTGAAAGAGGCATTATGATCCCTTTAATCCTTTTGAAATGACAATTTAACATTTTAACACGAAAGGGAGGGGTCAACAAAGTGGTGATGCATGTTGGAAACCAAAGTCAACAAAAGTAAAATAATTCTAGCAAAGGAGGATTGGATGGCTCAGCATACTGATAACAGGAGATGAAGCTTTTACCTTGAAGCCATGGTTCATCTCCAGGTCAGAGGCTAGAAGGCTCAAGGGACTGAAATCAGAGTGTGTAGGGGAAGGTCCTACACTGCTGTGGGGGATGCACTAGACGTGACCTATTAGAAACCGGAGACGGAAAAGGCTTAGGAAGACCAGCCAAAGGCTTGCCCCTTCCCATCACCAAGGACATACACCCCCTTCAGGAAGGAGCCCTTTACTCCACCAAACGCTGTCACAGCCGATGGAGGCACCTTTAGAGAGGGTGCCTGGGAGACCAGTTGTTGTCTGCCACACAATCAACAAGTTTACGTGATTTGAAGGGTGGGAATTTAGGGAAGGCAGGAGCTGCTTCTGCCGAGTCCCCAACGGCCTTCTGCTCGTCAGAGACCAGACAAGGATGAGGAAAAGCCCCTACTAACCCCTGTTCTGTCCACCCTCACCTCAGCACCATCATTCCCAAAGTCTCTCTTACCAGCCAAAGTGATTCCAAGAGGACTGGCTGAAACTGAGCAGCACACCGCAGCCAAACACAAAGCCAAGGAAGCAAGCTCGGACGGCTATCTGAAACACAGCGAAAGCAGCTCAGTCACCCCATGTTCTCAGAACCAGACTGCAGACTGCCCTGGGGTAAGGCGGCCACCAGGGAGCAGAGTCCACTGCCTAGAGATTTAAGAGGATGCAACAGGGCTGCCCGGGCTCAAATCATGTGCTCAGCTCTACACACACTCACTCTGTGACAGGTTATTTAAACTACAGAGTTTGCCCATTTACACCACGGGAATAATTGCGTTTTACAACAGCATCAAGGACTGACCGTGTCAAGCACCTAATAATGTAAGTTTTAACAGCCATAATAATAATTATTACTAACAACAGATCTTTGGGAAAACTGCTTAAGACCAGTCTATTGACTAATGCTTTCAAATAAGAACTCTGTGCCCAGTCACCTAGGTGAAGTGGGGCCTCTGACCTCAGGCTCTGCAGTGGGTAAGACAGCACATCTTACATGAAATTACACAAATAAAAATCTCGGGGTTTGCTCACTTCCTGCCCCACGTGCATCTGCAGAAGCTACTGATCCACAAGAGCTGCAATTAACACCCACAGCTGGGAGAGGTGGGTCCCTCCTGTGACCTCAACTCCTGGTTGAGGAACAGGTGAGGAGGCAGCCATGGCTCCAGGGGTGGAGGGGAGTGTGCCCAGGTACCCCAGCTGGACCAGCACCTGGCAGGGCCCATCCCGCTAGTTGCCAAGTTCCAATCCCTGTTCCTTGAAGAGTCTTGACCTTGCCACCCACTCTGCCTGGTCTCTGCCCAGCCGAGTCCGGGTCTGCCTGTCTCCACCTGCCCCAGCCATCTAGGGTCCACCAGGCTGGCTTGCCCTGTCCCTGTCTGGATCATCTATGTTTCCCTAACTCTCCTGTCCAATCCCATCTACCCCGCCACTGCTGCCCTGCTCCATCTGCTCGTACCCATCTACTCAGTCCTGTCACCATCAATTCCCACCTGTCTTAACCGTCCCCATTTACCCCCTCCCCATCTACTTGGTCCCTGTCTACCTCCACTCAGCCCCATGTGCCTGGCTCAGTCCATCTAGTCAGTCCTGGATCACCCCATCCCTATCCACTAGCCCTGCCTGCCCTGTTCCCATCCCCAATTACACGGTCCCATCTATGTCCACCTGGCCCCAGGACCGTCCCTATCCACTTGGTCCCCAATCCCCATCCCCATCTACACGGTCCCCTTCCTCATCTACATTCACACGGTCCCTGTCCCATCATCTACCCCGTCCCTGTCTACACGGTTCTGGTCCGCCCAGTCCCGGTCCACCCGGTCCCCCAAGTCCCCTTCCACCTAGTCCCCATCCCTGTCTACACTGACCTCGTCCGCCCGGTCCCTCATCCACCTGGTCCCTGCCCCGACTGCCTGGTCCCTGTCCCCGTCTACATTGTCCCCATCCGCCCCGTACCCGTCCACCCGGTCTCCGTCTACACTGTCTCTGTCCGCCGGGTCCCGGTCCGCCCGATCCCCGTTCACCCGGTCTCCGTCTACACTGTCCTCGTCCACCTAGTCCGCGTCCCCGTCTACACTGTCCCCGCCCGCTCGGTTCCCGCCCCGCCCGGTCCGCACCTGGTAGCGCGGCGGCCGGTAGAGCAGCAGCAGCAGCGCGTTCAGCCCGGCCACGTAGAGCGCCAGCCCGGTGCGGCCCTGCAGGCCGGCGCGCGTGAGCAGCGGCAGGGCGAGCACAGAGGCGCCCAGCAGGAAGGTGGCCAGGCTGAGGCGCGCCTCGGAGCCGGGCGGAACCCGCGCCGCGCAGCCCGCCATGGCGCAGGGGCGGAAGAGCGGCCGTCGGACGAGCGGCCGCAGAGAGGAGCCGGGAAGCCCGCCGGCCGCGCCTGCGCACTGCGCCGCCGACGCCGGCTGGGGAAGGGCAACTGCCCGGAGAGCGTGTGGCCGGCGCGCTCTCGCGAGAACTCGGCCGCGCAGCGGCTGGCTTGAATCTGGCGGGAGCGCCCGTCCCGGGGCCCCGCCCGGATCGTGCGGACGCCCAGACGCCCGGGAGTGGCGAGGAATCTGGCCCCGACGGGCTGAGGGCGGTTGGGGAAGCCGGGGTCCGGGAAGCCCCTCGGCCCGCGTCTGCCCGCGTGGTGGTTCCGGGCTGGACACCGCCAGCGCTCTTCCCACGGTGGCGCGGTGCAGGCTGTACCCCAGAGCCAGCACCCGCGCGGCGGGACCTCCCTTTCCAAGTTCCTGGGCGAAGTCAGGCCGCGGTGGAAAAGCGGTCTTTGTTACTTACTTATTTATTTATTTAAAATATTTTATTTGGGCCGGCCGTGGTGGCGCACGCCTTTAATCCCAGCACTCGCAGAGGCAGGCGGATCTCTGTGAGTTCAAGGTCAGCCTGGTCTACAGCTGGGGCTACAAGGGGGAATCTTGTCTCAAAAAGACAAAAATAATAATAAAATATTTATCATTTTTATTTTATGTGTATGAGTGTATTACATGCATGTAGGTGAGTGCACTCTGATGTGCATGCAGTTCCTACAGATGTCGGAAGAGGTCATGGATCCCCTGGAACTGGAGTTACAGGTGGTTCTTAGCCACAATGTAGGTGCTGGGAACCGAACCCCGGTCCTCTGCAAAAGCAGCCAGTGCTCTTAACCGCTGAGCCATCTCTCTAGCCTTTGATTTGCTTTTTATTTGCTCCACACGAGCGAATTGATTGTTTCAGTAGTAAATATGTACAACCTTTAGAAGTACGTTAAAAAATAAAGACCACAGTGGGTGGAGAGAAGTCTGGTGAGAAACCGAGTCAGGCTTATGCAGCCCTCTGTAGCAGGGGAAGGAGAGCAAAGATGCCGTTTTTAAAAACAGCATGCCTGGGCTGGAGAGATGACTCTGGTTAAGAGGACTTACTGTTCTTCCAGAGAACCTGGGTTTGGTTCCTAGCACCCACATGGCTGCCAACACCCACTTCTGGCCTCCAAGGGCACCAGGTACACACCAGGTACATACACATAAAATAAAAGTCTTTTTTTGTAAAAAGCAACATGTCAAATTTTACTGTGCAGGCCCCACTGCACTTGAAGGAGACACTTGCACTTGTGCCTGGGAAAATTACTGGAATCCTTTGTCAACAAATACCTTTAAGGTAGCAGAACTCTGGCCAGTTATTCTGTAGTTTTCTTGTTTTTTTGTTTTCTTACTGTTTTGAGACACGGACTCTTTGAGTAGAGCTGGCTGGCCTGAAATAGATCATCTGCCTCTGCCTCTGCAGTGCTAGAATTAAAGACTTGCATCCTAGAGGAGAGAGAGAGACAGAGAGAGAGAGAGAGAGAGAGAGAGAGAGAGAG